CTCAAAAAAAAAAAAAAAAACACGTCATTAAGAAAAAAGCAATTGCAAAGGAAAATGAGCAAGGAACATGAACATGCCCCTCACAGACAAAGTACAAACGGCCACTGATGTGGTTAAAAAATATAGGCTCTGGGGCTAGACTGAGTTGACATTCTGATTTGGCTGATTGCCAACTGCGTGACCCTTGGCAAATTATTTTAACTTCTCTGCTGCCTTATTTTCCTCACGTATAAAATAGGAATAATAACAGAAGTGACTTTGCAAAACGAGTCTGAGGATTAAATAAGATACTGTATGAAAAATGCTCAGAAAAGTACCTGACACAGAGCAGCCACTAACAGATGTTGGCTGCTATTGTTATTTTATATCCGATTTATTATTATTGCTATTATCATATGAAAAGATATTTGGCCTTACCTAGAATCAAAGAAATGAAAATACGACCCATAAGGTGCCATGTTTATGCTGATCAGTCTGGCAGACATGAAACGGATGACTAGAATCTGTGGTTGGCGGGGGGATGGAGAAGCAGACTCCCTAACAGACATCAGTGGGTATGAAAAAGGATTCTGCTTTCTTTCTGACACTCTGGAAAGATGTGTCAAAGAGCTTACAAAGTATATACCTTTGACAAGAATTCTGCTTTAGGAATTTATCTTTTTTTTTAAAAAATTTCAGATTAATATGAGGGTACAAACCATTAGGTTATAATGTTTGCATTTGTTAGGTAAAGTCCCTGTTGTAGCTGTGCCCCTCAACCCAGGAGGTGTGCCATATACCCTTTATAATGTGGCCATAAGGTGGGAGCACACCAATCTCCCTCTTTGCCCCCCACAACTTGAATTGAATTGAGTTTTTCTCCTGGGTAGGCCTGTATTAGTTCATCTACTGGCTTCATATTAGTATTGAGTATATTGGATATCTGCTTTTCCTTTCTTGTGATATTTTACTAAGAAGAATGTGAGGAATTTATCTTAAGAAAACAGTTGAGCAAGACACAGGTAACAGGTTATCTCAACATTAAGCCCACCAAAAAACATGAATAACTTAAACTGTAAGTCTCTGAAATAACCAATATGGAACGTGTCATGGAACAGCCATAGCATGAGATTCTATGCAACCATCAAGTGATGTGGAAAGACTGCATTTACTGAGCTGTGACTCTGCCAAGGATAAATTTTCTTTTCTCTCTCTCTCTTTTTTTTTTTTTTTGACAGAGTCTCATTCTGTCATCCTGGGTAGAATATCATGGTACCGTAGCTCACAGCAACCTCAACTCCTGGGCTCAAACGATCTTCTTGCCTCAGCCTCCTGACTAGGTGGGACTACAGGTGCCCACCATGTCTGGCTAATAGGGATGGGGTCTCACTTTTGCTCAAGCTGGTCTTGAACTCCTGAGCTCAAGTGATCCACCTGCTTTGGCCTTCTAGAGTGCTAAGATTATAGGCGTGAGCCATGGTAACTAGGATAAATTTTTAAGTGGAAAAAAAGAATCAGGTCACAAAAGACTACGTGTGGTATGATCCAATGCCCGACCTGTCAATGGGGACTCTGAGGCCCACCATGCTCCAGCCTCAGTGCCTGAGACTTTCTGCAGCTAGAGCAGCGGTTCTCAACCTGTGGGTCACAACCCCTTTGTAACAATGAAAATACATCGTGACATTAGGAAGGTTGAGAACCACTGACCTAGAGCTTCTCAGGCCCTCAGGAGGCTTTTCAGACTCATAAAGCTCACTCCCACCCCAGATCCCTCAGCCTAGAATGGTTTTCCTAGATCACTGCATGGCCACTTTATCTGGGTCTCTTCAAACATCTCTTCCTCAGAGAAACCTGTCTTGGCCACTCTCCTGAGATGCTACCCCCACTGTCCTCCCTGACACTTCTCTATCCCTCTACCTTGCTTTTTCTTCAGAGCATCTATCACCAAATAGATATATTTGTTGACTGGTTTATGGTCTTCTGACGTACCAAGAGGCATCAGGTGACAGAATGGAGGAAGGACACTTATCCGTAGAGAGTGGAAGAACAGTCACTGCATTGTTTACAGAGGTTAATCTCTATGTGGCAAATATTGTGGGATGTTGAGTTTGCTTTCTTTTCCATGCTTTTGTGTATTTTCTAAAAATTTTCTAATAAATATGGAGTACTTCTAGACTTGGAATGCAAATATAACTATGTTTTGAAAAACCAAATTTTACTTTCCTAATTTTGTTTGATCTAACCGTGTATTAAAAGCAATTTGTTCCCTTTGATCTGATATTTGGGATTAGAGGCTGGTGTTTTTTTAGTATGACTGAACAATATGTCTGCCCTGGTAAAGCTCAAACAGCAGGAACTGGAGGCTAACCGTGTAGGTTTTCATGTAGGAGATAAGACACACACACACACACAAAACCAACCCCAAATCACAACAAAATCAAATCAGAATGCGAACATTGTTACCAGTAGAAGGCTCGCAGGGAACTGGCGTATAATATTTGGAGTATACTTCATCTTTCGGCCGATCAGGAAACACATAGATAAGGTAATTCAAGTCTCCCAAGCGGTCGGCTAGGGACCGGATAGAGAAGTCTCTAGTGGTGAAAGGCATCAGATTCCAAAACATTCTCTCCTCTGGATCAATAAACAGAACAATCACATTCTAAACATGATTCCCAAACAAGAAAATTTAAAACCCAACAACACTACAAATTCAAATTCACCCATTAAAATTGTCCCAATAGGAAATTCCATTTTAAAATTACCATGGCTGTAGATAAAATAGTTTTTAAAAACCATGGGTAGCAGGTAATACACACATCACTTCCCTAGAGATCCAGTGACCTCAGGTAATTTCAAGTTCAAGCATTAGTCCATTCCTCGCTAGAAGAAACAATTCTCGTAGAGCCTAATCCCTAGTTTCTGATACAAAGGTATAAAAGAGAGATGGAACGCACACAATAGCAAGATAAAGCACAAATGCTATTAAAAATATTAAAACTAATAAAGTCCGTAAGTCACAAAAACCAAACCAGCAAGCTACTTTTATTGTTAGAGAACTCACTTTCTTAGGTGGAAATGATTAATGGAAATATCTTTATATTAAGATAAAGGAACAACAGAAATAGCATTTTTAAAAATTTTCTTTGAGACAGTCTCGCTTGGTTGCAACAGATAGAGTACAATGGCATTGTTACAGCTCACAGCAACCTCAAACTCCTAGCTTTAGGCTATCCTTCTGTCTCAGCCTTCCATATAGCTAGGACTATAGGCATTCGCCACTATGCCCACCTAATTTTTTTAATTTTTAGTTGGAGATGGGATCTCACTCTTGCTCCGGCTGGTCTTGAATTCCTGAGCTCAAACATTCCTCCTGCTTTGGTGTCCCAGAGTACTAGGATTCCAGGTGTAAGCCACTGCGCTCAGCCTAAAATAGCCTATTATTACTACTCAAAGGACCGTCAATCATCAAAGTACAGGAGAACCTCCCTAGATTAACCACTTCCTTAACATGACCTAATCTTCATAGACTGGAAATGCATCGCATGGATGTGTCAGTACAGTAGGCCTAGTTCCTTATGCTGACTGCCTCCGTATTCTGACCAGTTTGTTATAGTTCCTTAGGTGGTCAGTTTACAGAGGTTCTACTATAGTTCTTCACTGAAATAAACTCCAGGTTGAGTAATAATAAGGCAAACATTTCAAGAGGGGAGCAATGGAGATTCTGCACAGACTGCTGTACCTCAGGCATCTGTATCATGGTTACAACTTTTGTATTTCCTGAAATTAGCAACTGTGTTTCCCATCATAATTTTTATAGGCTGCTGTATTATGGGCATCTATGTCATGGTTATACATTTGTGTCTCTGTAATTAGTATTGTCCCCAACAAATAAGTACTCAATAAATTGTCTGCTAAAATAATTTTGTAACAAAAGCTGCTAACTTTGGACACAAAGCCAAGATATGTCTTAAAAAAAGGATGGACACCCACGAGAATCGAACTTCCACGCAATGGTGATGCCACCAATTTCTGAATCACTGAATCTCAGCAGAAAGGTCCCATCCGGCTTGTTAATGAGCAGGTCGTGGGCCTGTTGCTTGTTCACAAAACCCAGAATGGCCCTGGATCACAAAGGACAGAAGCAGAGTGTGAGGATGTATCAATGCCAGAAAGACGACTTTCATTGTCTAATGAGAAATGACAATTCTCACCCATCATTCCAATGAGGCTTGAGATGTTTTTTTAACACTTCCATCACGCCATCAAACCACTGCCAGAAAGTGTAATTCCGTCCTGGTAAATTCTCCTGGTTGGAGATACAAGAAGGAACATAAGAAAGCAAGGGTAACACTTGAAATATTATGTGTACCTGGGCATATTTCAACTGGAAAATTACATGGAAAATAAACATTGCACTGCCAGAAGCATACAGATACAAAAGCCTACCAGAGTTTAACCTAATGGCCCTACAATCAAAAAACAGAAATGGAGAAGAAAAGAGAAAGAAGGAGAAAACACCAAAGTACAATTACCAACAACCAGTGGACTCCTGCTATAAACACTTTCACTTGGTTCTGGGCTGACCAGTCCCTCACTATTTTTAGTGTGTGCTCTGTGACCAGCAGTATTATCATCACCCAGGAGCTCCTGAGAAATGCCAATATTTTAGGCTCCAACTCCAACCTGCTGAATCACCATCTGCCTGCCTTTTAATGAGAAGCCCAGTTGGTTTGTGAATATGAACTGGATTAGATCATACTGTAAGGCTATGGAGACGCTTCATTACGCAGATGTTCCCAGAGGTCATCAGGGAGATGCAGCTGCCTGGCTCTACTGGGAGGTAGGGGCCTAACTGCAACTGCTCAGATAGACAACTGCGACCTCCCCCTTCTCTCATCAAACCTATCAGCAAAACTTTGGCCAACCTGTTAACACAGAACTCTTTAAAAAACTAAGACCATGGGGGCAGCGCCTGTGGCTCAGGGGGTAGGGTGCTGGCCCCATATACTGAGGGTGCTAGATTGAAACCCGGCCCCGGCCAAACTGCAACAAAAAAATAGCTGGGTGTTGTGGTGGGCGCCTGTAATCCCAGCTACTTGGGAGGCTGAGGCCAGAGAACCACCTAAGCCCAGGAGTTGGAGGGTGCTGTGAGCCGTGTGATGCCGCAGCACTCTATCAAGAGTGATAAAGTGAGGCTCTGTCTCCACCAAAAAAACCAACAAAAACCCTAAGACCATAAAGTCTGAATCAAAGACATTTATCAAACTTGGCTATCTGATGTGACCTTAGAGAAAAATTTGACTTGTGATGTCTGAATTACCAGGTGCTGGGGGGCAGTATCTTTCATGGGCTGAGGGTCCCATGAGAGGCTGACCTGGCATTAGACATCAGGAGACTTCAGAGAGTGAATGGAAGAAAGCCATGGAACTCTGATCATCCAAAAAGCTTAATGTCTGCTTTGCTCCATTTCCTATTTTTTTTTTTTTTTTGAGAGAGTCTCACTATGTCACTCTCGGTAGAGTGCCATGGTATCACAGTTCATAGCAACCTCAAACTCTCAGGCTTAAGCGATTCTCTTCCCTCAGCCTCCCAAGTAGCTGGGACTATAGGTGCCTACCACAGGCCTGGCTATTTTTCTATTGCAGTTGTCATTGTTGCTTAGCTGGCCCAGGTTGAATTTGAACTCGCCACCCTCAAAGTACGTGGTTGGCACCATAACCACTGTGCTACGGGCACCGGCCAGCTCCATTTCCTTTACAAAGGAAGAAAATACACTAACTGCACATAAAGCCCAACTTACTTAAAACACGCAAAAATGTTGCTTTGTACATGAGACCTGAATGACTATTAAGTTGTCTATCCGTCTATCCAGAAGCTTCTATTATTTTTGGTTCATTTTATTAGAGACAGGAAGAACAATGACCTATTGCAGGGAGACTCCTGGAGGGGTCAGAAGGACCAATCTAACAGCAGCTGATGGCCCAGGTGCCTCACCCTGTTGAACTGGGACCAGGACACAGACATGTTGTTGTAGTCTTCGAGGTGGCTGTGGCTGCTGTTGAACAGTTTCTGTGCCAGGAACACGAGGTTCTCCTTGGTCAGGCCCCGGTTGCTCTGCACTTCGGCCTTGAATTTCATGTTGAGCGCCTCACACAGCTGCGGCCACAGCACTTTGTCAGGCACAGCAAATGGCACCCTGCCCTGAGTGGGAAAGAAGCCAGAATCTTATGAGAAAACAGTTGCAGGATTTATTCCCTCAAGCCACAAAAGAAAAACATCAATGGCTGGGAAGGCATTACAAGCATTTATCCTGCAGAGACGGAGAATAAATTCAAACTTTCTTAGAACTCAGAAGGATCCATTTCACCTTCTTTACACATAACTAGAAGGTAACCTCACACTGTCTATGCTGCTTCATAAATGACTTGCTGAACCGACAGTCCAATCCTATTCTAAGAGCCACGAAAACAAATCAAGGTCTGGCTCTTATGTGATGAATTCCTTGGGCATTTAGAAATCTAAGACTGGTTCTTTTGGTGCAGAGAGGAGGATATATGTATGTGTGCACAGTGAAATGCCTTCTGCCAAGAACTCCAGTTCACAGAGAAACAATTTGGTATGGAACAGTGGATATTTCTAATTGAACAACTTTATTGAGAAAGAGGTCACAATATGAATTTTTAATAAACTGCTTTTTATCCCATTCAGCCATGATATTATGTAATTTTTATGAGAACATTTTTATTTTATTTTGTTATCGAGGCAGGATCTTGCTCTGTGGCCCAAGATACAGTATAGTGGCATGATGATAGCTCCCTGTGGCCTCAAACTTCTGGGCTCAACTGATCTTCCTGACCTCTGCCTCTGGAGCACATAGGACTACAAGTGCATGCCACTTCACCCAGTTCTAAAATTTCTTTAAATAGAAAATTCCTTCAGATGATATAAAATCCAAAAAGCACATAAGGGTATTCAGTGAAGTCACTTCCTTATGGGGACCCAATTCTTTTCCTAAAGGCATCTAATCTAGTTTCTTGTGCATACTGCCAAAGATATTCTATAAATGTTGACAATTACATATAATTTTTCCTTCTCTTTTCTTAGTATAAAACCCCGCATGTCCTGTGTCCCCCTTTTCACTCAACAATGGATCCAGGAGACCTCATATCAGCACATGAAGAAATTTTCCCTGAAGCTCACAGATGGGCATCTGTGTCATAGCCTCTGCCCTCCAGTTGTCACAGTGCTGCAATGTACTTATGTTATTGGACACATATGCAAATTTATTAGAATAAATTTCCGCAAGTAATTATTTTAAAATAGCACAAGATGTACACTAGTCATTTTCATAATGGAACATGTTAAAAATGTTTATTTATTTAGACAAAATCCTTTTCTGTAATTACATGCTACAGAAAAAGCCAGAGTTATCGAGACGAGTTAGAGTCCTGGATGGGCAGGGAGGGAAATGAGAGAATATGAGCCCATCTTCTCTAGGACGCTTGTTAGGACAAGCTGCAGGCAGATATGTTCAAAGAGGAATCTCCAACTCAGGTTTTATAGCCCAAGTATGGTAGAGTCTGATGAAAATCTCCCCTTTGTAATAAAATATCGTTCTCCAAAGAGGACTGTTGGGAATGCTAAGACTCTTCAAGTTGGCCCTTACAAAAAGATGCATTTTATGTCCCAAATAATGAGCAACCCGTTACGATGCTTTGTGGGGACTATCTTTACTGGAGACGTGTAACATACAGACCTCCGTCTACTGAAATGTTTTGAAAGTGCTCCTCCTGCAGCCCATCAGTTGGTATTTGGGAAGCATTCAGAAGCACAAATCCACAAAACTGTATCTGTTCCCTGAGAGAAAGCACCTTACTCTGCATGAGAGACCGGGAATGAATCACAGAATCTAACATTTGGAAAGGACATTTTAATGGCATCCTTGTTTACTGAAAGGAAGACAACCAGGAGCAACTTCTGAGTTAAACTAACCTCTTGAGAGATCTAAACTACAGACGGAACCTGGGGTCCCAAATCTCCGTCTGATTTCACCCACTATGTGACAAGCATTTTTTCAGTGTTATCCGATTCGATCTTCCTAACAGTACCGTGAAGTATCACTTACTAGAAACTCAAGCTCAGGTAAAGTCAACTGCCTATGGTCACAGGGTAAGGAAATGAGAGAGTCTGGATTCAAACCTGGGCCTGATGGCCTATGTCCTTTATGCTTACCACATTCCTTCTACTCTGCTACCCACGAAGGGAAGCAGCATTTCTTTCTTTTCTTTTCTTTTTTCTGTTTTCTGAGATAGAGTCTCACTCTGTTGTCCTCGATAAAGTGCCATGGAGTCAGCCTAGCTCACAGCAACCTCAAACTCCTGGGTTCACATGATCTTCCTGCCTCAGCCTCCTGAGTAGCTGGGACTGGAGGTACCTGCACAATGCCTAGATAATTTTCCTATTTTTTTCTTTTTAATTATTTTTTATTAAATCATAACTTTGCACATTGATACATTTATGGGGTTCAGGGTACTGCTTCGTCGATATACAATGAACTAAGCAACACATCCATCACAATTATACTCATTTCTAAATAGTTCTGAAATGTACCATTGCATCATGCACATTAGGTGAGGTCCCCCCAAATACACTCCCCTCTTCCCATCATCCCCTCTCCTCTCTCTCCTCTTCCCTTCTACTATCTGGACTATAGTTATGTTTTGCCATTTGTATGAGTGTATAGGTGGTTATATATTGATTTCATAGTAGTACTAAGTACACTAGATACTTTTCCCCCCATTCTTGAGATACTTTGCTAAGAAGAATATGTTCCAGCTCCATCCAGGTAAACATAAAAGATGTGAAGTCTCCATCTTTTTTATGGCTGCATAGTATTCCATGATGTACATATACAATTTTTCTATTTTTATCAGAGACAGGGTCTTACTCTTGCTCAGGTGGGTCTCCAACTCCTGAG